GTACAAGAACAGTGCCATCCTCTCTACCACAAAGACATGGTACACTGACTCCAGATGGACTTGAGTTTTGAACCACTTGGGCAATGTCATCCAAGCAGTCAACCTTATTCCTCCTAAAATTTCTTTTAAAGAGCCCAAAGCACCAGTCACAGGAAAACTTTGTGTGCCCAGCAAGAAGGAAACTCATTTTGACTGACACATTACGACCTGTCAAGACACGCCACAATAGATACCACATCACAAAGGAGTTCTTGTTTTGTCCCGCACAGTTATCTGCATGAAGGTGCATGTGCATTTCACCCAGTCCATAATTCTGAGTGTAAAAGGCTAATAACACAGTTGCTACCTTTACCAGTCTGTATGGATTCATCCAACAAGAAAGTAACCTGCTTTGGCAAGGCCTCACATGCTACACCAAAAACTCCACACTTACGTGGTGTTTTGAAATACATCGGCCCTGGTTGGAGGGGATCATTGGGGTAGTGAATCTGTTGTGCAAAGTCCATGCTATAATGTACCTGTCCCTCATAACTACAAGGAATGTGTGAACCTAACTCCAACCCAGCAGGCAAGTTTGCTTTTGAATCCTTACAAAGTTGTTACGGTCTACTCTAGCTTTCTCCAGATGTTCAGTGGCCAGACGATGCAGCTCTGCCTTCTCTGAATCAGCCTTTTTGGCAGCCTCACTAATGCGTTTTTGATATTTATGTCCAACACAGGTCAGTTGCTGGCTGCATTGTGACAACAAATGGCACCACTTCCCGCCAGATACGACGAAACATAACTACAGAAACCACACCAGATTCGCTGCAGCAACTGCCACACAATAATCAGAGTACACCTTCACCTTCATACAGTTAGTTGGAGGAAGTTTCAAATCACTCCTCCAAAAGCCTGGTACCCTCCCTGAAGGATGCATGCCATGAGTTTCAGCATAGTTTATAATGAAATGTACAACATACATATTGTCCTCTTTCTTCAGTGCATTAGGAGGCTGACGCTTTTTGTTGCCATGCATTCGAGGAGTAACACCATGCTCTTTATAATGCTTAATAAGAGCATCTAGCTTGACCTGGCCAATGGCATGGAGATATTTAAACGTATCCCTGCATATTTTCTCCCCATGGTGAAAGAAATCAGTTCTTTAGGACTTCCGAACTGTCTGTTCTTTTTTATGGGTGCGGGATGTTAGCTGAGAAAAATGCATTCCACACAAGAGTTTAGCTAAAACGGCGATATCTAGCTCTTCCCTTGTCATTTCCAGGAAACAGTAGCGAATCATCTGCAGCTCCTCTTGCATGAAACGTGTTGAACATGGATGACCATTGTCGTATTTGCATGCACATACAAACTCTTGCACATCATCACCATTATCTTCTTGAAGTGGAACTGGTGTTAGTATCTTTGCTACATCTTCAATAATGGATATGGGATGGTCATCATCTGAAATGAGGAAGAATGAATAACTGTAAGACATATGTATTCTATAAAAAAGGCTGAACTACATAAGTACTAATAATCAACATTGACAATCCATCACACAAGTATTTCACCATTGCAATATGTCTATGCCCATAAGACATAGGTTACTACTATAGTAGTACTACTATTATTACTCAAAACCATCATCATCATCATCATCATCATGATTAGATTATGTTGTTTGACAAGGTGCGACCAAAACGTTAACAATATGTTAAGGTGTAGTCTACTATCAAAAAAAATTAACATGATACGTGCAGGCTTGCACAGCACAGACAAGAAGCAATCGGATCTGGCTCAATCCAACATCTCTCTCCCGAAATAAGATTTATATGTCTTACATTTAAATTGCAAAATATGTCACAGAGGGAAGAAACCGTCTTCACCATCTGTAATGCAAGGCTACTACAGCCTTGAATGTCACTAGCATGGAGCAATCATGAACAGGGGCGGACTGGGACAATAATTCAGGCCACCACCACCGGATTAACGCAAAACACCAGAGTGAGTTAGGTTTGGCGCCTACTGATGTAAAAGTGCTTTTAGCTTTTTAAACCTCTCCCTCTCTGCTCCACCTTTCCTCTTGGGCTGTCGATCTCGCTCCTTTTTCAAGCATCTAGAGCTACAGGTGAGGGGGGCGGGGGCGCAACTTGGTGTGTGTGTGTGTGTGTCTGCAGTGCTGTGACAGAGAGCCTCAGAAAAAGAGAGGAGGGGGTGTGTTTGTGTCGTTGCTGCTCAGTCTGTGTGAGCTTCAGCGAGGCAGATACCCTAATGAGGGTCACTGATCATGAACATCACCGAGTCTATTAACCTGACGTTAATGCTGCAGTCTGCATCTCGAACATTAACATTGTCACATGTCAGCTGAACTTACATGCATAAACAGCCATAGTTTGTGGCTTTAACTTGAAGTTTTAAGCCTTTGTGTCGCCGTTCAAAAGAAATGTATAACGGGAAAATGGTAATGGATAAAGTTACTCTGAACAAACAAGATATTCCAGGGAACTTTCTAGCCTGTCAGGAACAGCACTAGGCTAACCTACATCACGGTTATCATTACACAAGGAGATAAGTTACCTGAGGGGGATGGCATTTTAAAATTTAGTAAATTGTTGTTGTTTTATTGTTGTTTTATTACTGGTGCGGTCTCTGGATGTTTTAATCGTAATGTTGTCCTTGTAGGTTTTTGATAACAAGTCTTACACATTGGTCATTTAAAATAGCAAGTGCACCTTGTATCTTACATTAAGAATAGCATAGCTAGCTTAACTTCATCAGACTCCTCTTCTTCGGTAAATTCATTATAATCCGATCCTTCATCATCTCTTGGATCTCTGGATGTGAAATAATCCATGATCACGTCGTTCAGGGCATTGGCATCGCCAGGACTTACCAAGTTGAGACGTGCAGCATCATTTAAGTGAGCAGCTACCTCAGACTCTCTTCTCTTGCGCTCCGCCATCTCCGCCATCTCCGTAGACTCTCACATCCTCACGTAACGTTAACGTTAGGTTTATCAAAACATATCACATTGTTACAACATATATCTGGCGGGAAAATGTGCATTGATATGATATGACTTCATTCATGTGGTTTAGGGCTTTGATTGGTGAACCGTCTTTGTAGTGTTTATAGCCTAGGCAAAGCACGTTATGGGAGATTATTTCCTCGAAACGTGCCAGCGCGACATCCGACGGGTTTTCCCAGATCGCATCACATATGGTCTCACACTAAAATTTCACTTTATGGATTGAAGCTAATGAATGTGAACAGCCTCTTTCTTTCCTCAAGCTTCTTTTTTCCTCAAGCTGTAGCTCCATTTGTGTCTGCTCTGCTTCAATACATACATATTCTGTATGCAGTCACCTATTTATTGTGCCAAGTGAAACAGTTTGAAACCACTGACTGAAATTCAACAGCGTGACATGGGAGACATTTAAATTACAGGTGCCGTCCTTCCAGTGAAAGGCTTACCCCATAAAGGAAGTAAACAAAAGCGCTGTCTACTTTAAGACAAAAAAGAAACTGCAGTCTGCCTGTTCTTGTTCAGGTGCATCCACTCTGTATGTTACTGATGGACATGTATGTTTCCTCACTGTGACACCACTGCTGTGGAGGCACAATGCACACAGGGCCTGAGGCAGTGGACAGTGGCAGCACAGAAAAACAAGAGGTAAAAAAAAAAAAAAAACGACATTTCTGCAGCAGTGGCTCAAAAGTCGGCAGGTGATCACTGTTTGAACCTCTGGAAACTGAAAAGACTTCTACCATAGAGCACACGCGTTGGGAGTAATTAACATAATTGCATTTGTCTTTATGTGTGGAGATGGTTGAGATGGCAAGTTGAGCCATCATTGATGAGCACAGTATGTCTTGACAGAGAGACAGTTCTAAACAACAGTGGAGTGGAAAAATGTGGGTCCTGTGCTTATTCAGTCTCAAGGAACCCCCTTCCCTCCATCTTTTCTGTTACAGATATACAAATAACAAAATCAACAAATAAATATGCCCATCAGTAGTGTTTATGAGTAACAAGCCATGAACTTTTTATACAACATTTAAAGGTTCAGTATGTAACATTTAGGAAGATCTATTGTCAGAAATGGAATATAATATTCATAAGTATGTTTTAATTAGTGTATAATTACTGAATATAAGAATCATTGTGTTTTCGTTAACTTAAAATGACTAGAAATACTATATGGTACATTTCCCACTGGTGGTATGCACAAGTTTCCTCTAGTGGTCGGTAGAAGAATACTGATGGTAAGATAGTAAGTGAAGGCAAAATGAATGGTTCAGAAAGGCTGCAATCATCGCTCCAAAATGGAACTATTGGAAAGAGAAGTGTGGACCACATTTTCCACCAAATTAGCTCTGGGTTTTGAACCGGTTCCATTCAGGATTCAACAACAGTCAACAATAAATTCAATTAAATCTTATGAGCAATAAAGCTGCCTCCTGAGTGAACTGTGTGTAGCTGAACAGGGGCAGCCTATGCCGCTGTATTTTAATGTCAATCCTCATATTTTTCTGAGGTGGCACGTGTGTAAAAAGTTTGAGAAACACTGTACTATACACATTGAGCATGTTAGACTTTAATACATGTATAAGGGCTGCTTGGAGAAAGATCCTTGTTTAACATTATTTTCATCATGGTTTTATAGGTCTTTATCATGTCTTTGGTATAAGACAATGCTAGAAAAGAACCATAGAAGAAAGTTATGTAGAGTCAAAAGGATTTTTAGTGGCCACGTTGTGCCCCCCATGCCTCCCAACCTCAGTATAATAAGACTTGCTGCTACTCTTGTAGCTTCATTTATCAGAAAACCCTCTATGATAATGTTAGCTAGCCAGGTTCAACCTACATGCCAATGTTAAAGGTGAACTCTACGCATCCTTTTGCAGGTCTTTGCCTGGCTCCTTATGGAGTGGCAAAATAAAGTTTGATAAATTATTAAGTAGTTTTACTTGAGCCCGCTTGTCATCTCTGCTTACACTACTGGGGCCAGGCTACATTAGCTGCTACTACCATAACACACCTGAATCTTTGACCTCACTGTCTTTGTTAAACCTGCATGAATTAATTATTTGTGCATTTCAATTCAATTTTATTTGTATAGCGCCAATACATAACAGAAGTTATCTCAGGACACTTTTCAAATAGAGCAGGTCTAGACCGAACTCTTTATAACATTATTTACAGAGACCCAACAGTACCACCATGAGCAAGACCATGGCGACAAGGGCAAGGAAAAACTGCCTGTTAAAAGGCAGAAACCTAGGACAGATCCTTCGGCTCTAGGTGGGTGGTCGTCTGTCTCGACCAGTTGGGGTGAGAGAGAGAGAGAGAGACAGACAGACAGACAGACAGACAGACAGACAGGTGCACAGCAACAACAGTATTGGCAATGGCAATCTAGCAGGACCATGGCAGGAGGCTCCACCAGGATCGATGAGAACCTGCGAGACGAGAAAGCACAAGAACTCCGGGGAAGAAGTGAAGTTAGTAACATGCATTAATGGGACATGAATGAGTGCAGAAAGAGAGAGGAAGAGAGGAGCTCAGTGCACCATGGGAAATCCCCCGATAGTCTAGGCCTATAGCAGCATAACTAAGGGATGGTTCAGGACTCACCTGATCCAGCCCTAACTATAAGCTTTATCAAAGAGGAATGTCTTAAGCCTACTCTTGAATGTGGTGAGGGTGTCTGCCTCCAGAACCACAACTGGAAGCTGGTTCCACAGGAGAGGAGCTTGGTAACTGAAGGCTCTGGCTCCTGTTCTACTTTTAGAGACTATAGGAACCACAAGTAGCCCAGCATTCAGAGAACGTAGTGTTCTAGAGGGGTAATAGGGTACTATGAGCTCTTTAAGATATGAAGGGGCCTGACCATGAAGAGCTTTATAGGTGAGGAGGAGAATTTTAAATTCTATTCTACATTTTACAGGGAGCCAGTGCAGAGAAGCTAGTACAGGAGAGATGTGATCTCTTTTCCTAGTTCCTGTCAGTACTCGTGCTGCAGCGTTCTGAATTAATTGGAGCGTTTTAATGGACTTATCTGGGCAACCTGATAATAAAGAGTTGCAGTAATCCAGCCTAGAAGTAACAAATGTATGGATTAGTTTTTCTGCATCTGTCTGTGATAGGATGTGTCTAATTTTTCTAATATTACGTAAATGAAAGAAGGCAGTCCTAGAGGTCTGCTTCATGTGGGAATTAAATGACAAATCTTGATCAAAGATAACTCCAAGATTCCTGACAGTGGTGCTAGAGCCCAAGGTAATGCCATCTAGAGTAACTATATCTTTAGACAGTGAGTCATTTGCGGGCAACACAACAAGCTATTGTATTGAAACATTTTTGGCAAATGTGTTGTCAAGCAGTTGCCTACTTCAGCATCTGGCAGATACAGGGCAACATTCATAATTGTGTTTCTGCCCACCTCATGAGTATTTGCTCTCCTTTTAGCTCTGGTTTCAGCACCTGAGAAAATTATCTTTAGCCTTTACAGTAAATGTCCACCAGCTAGTCTCTAACCCTGTCTCTTGGCTATTTGCTGGACAAAGAGGTTAGAAAAAAGGTGGATGAAAGTGGTGAGATTGAACAATAAAGCTCCAGACTGGCTTCTTCTTGCAAGTTATTTAGGCTATGGGCAGGTGGTTCCACTATTTCTACCACTGTGGAATTCTTGGTCTTAGATTTTATTTTAGTTGTTCTCAGTTTGTGATTGAGGCCAGCAACTTATATGAGTTTGTAAACACTTGCCACTTAGTGAGTAGAAATTAAAGTGTTTCAAAGCCATGGTATTCTGTGCAACAGCCTGAAAGCAGACAGCATTATAAGAGATGGCTACCTGGATAATATGGGTCACCTTTTGTTGTGGGATGATGGATGTGGAGGCGGCATCAGCCCTCAGGTGACACAGGTGATGGGCTCTTTCTTATTACGCCACTAATGGGAGAGAAAGCTGTGAAAAGGCATCAATCGTTACCCACTGCAACCACCAAGGTCACTGAGGTCACAAATTAACCAGCCTCTCTTTCTTCTCTGGTCTCTGTCAGCCTTTTCTTTTCACTGTCTTCTTTTTGGTTTCATTTCTCTCGTTTCATGTTTTTTTTTTACCTCTGTTAATTTCCTTCCATTTATGAAGCCTGTAAATACCATAATCAGCACAATATAAATATTAATTTATAAATCTTTTGTGATATTTTAATTACATGTCTCAGCACTACTATTTTGCATGTTTAGTGTATTTTCCCAACAGCTATGAGAATTGACCAGTGTGTTAGGGTTCAGTATGGTATTCAAAACACTTAAAATTTTGCCAAACAGATTTACAATAGTTGCATAGCAACAGTAGAAATGATTAGCGCTTCCTCTCTCTGCTGCTGTCAAAACATTTGATGCTCTGCAGACATACACCATTACTTTGTTTTAACACACAGACAATGTCAATATCCAAAAAGGTTTAATGCCATTACATTGCCTCCTCTCCATCCAAGCTCTTTGCTCACCCTCTCCATTCAATTTATTACTCACACCTTTCCCTGCCTGCATTCCAGGTTGCAAATCAATAGCCTGGGTATCTTAAATTATTCAAACGCCTGAGTGACCTCCAGCGTGAACTGGGATGTTTTGCAGCAGATTGCGATGAGAATCAACATCTCCAAGTTAGACCACGGTTCCATAGAATGTTGGAATGCCCGCTTTGAGTAGTGAGCAAGTTGCTGACCCAAGTGAAGGGCTATCTTGAGGTCTTGTTCATAACTGAGGGTAAGATGGAGTATGGGATTGACATAATGTATTTGTGCAGTAGACCTGGTAGTAATAAGGTGGTAATAAGGTTGCAAAACCTAATGGCTTAGTTCTTGATTTGCCAGGACATCCGTTCCTGATAAGGGTATAGTGACTGAAAGAATGAGATATTAGCAAAATTATTTTCTTTTGCTTGCTGTCAGTTGGTTTGCTCTTGCAACTAACCTGGTTTACTGTTACTTTAGGCTGCTGTCGTTCTTGGATCATCCAACTGCAATACTAATCCTATCCTATCTGGCCTGCAAATGCCTTGGCATTCACATGGGTGTTGGTCTGGTTCTAATAAGACTAACTGATGTGGTTATTTGTGATGTAGACACAACAGACCAACCACAGGATTTTGTAATAGTTGATGTGTGAATAGAGTGTTAAATCAAAAGTTAAACTATTAACCCTAACCCAATTAAATAAATCAACTACTCATGGGAATCAATCACCTGAATTATTCTACCAGTTTAAATAATAAAAACTCAGAGTAGAATTGCTGCTCCTTCGTGTTGAAAGGAGCCAGTTGGAATGCTTTGGGCATCTGGTAAGGATGCCTCCCTTTGGAGCCTTTCTCAGCTACCCAATATATCTGACCAAGGATGGGTGGATGTGCCTAAGGGAAGCAAATCCGGTTTGCGGTTCTTGGCCTGTCTCAGTCCTGCTTAAGTAGAGTAAAATGGCTAGGCAAATGGATTTGATTTGTAGGTAACAGGTAGGATGTTGCCAGATACTGAATTATACAGATGTGTTGTTAAAAGGGAATCTTAAAGGTCTACTCTAGAATATTTGTCAAATCAAGAAGCAATAGCTACATCATAGGCACTCCCTTCTTGTTGTAAAATATCAGCATTAATTCCCTCTCAGTAATGCGAGTGTAAGATAAAAGCTGTCCTTTAGCTCTTTGAAGCCTTGATTGATTCTGTGACACTCCCAGGATAATGAGAAAACGGCTGTAAGAGAATATCAATGCCACGGATCTCTGAGGTGGCCGAGGAAACATCAGTGCTCAAGTCTTTTAACTTTGAACAAAGGACAAGGCTTCTGTATGTTAACACTATTCCTTCCACACCCTGAGATTTGTTGCATAGCGATACATCAGGGACAAGCTTATTTAGCTTTTCCTTTATGTAAGAAAGTATTTTTTTAACTCCATCAGATTGTATATTCAATTCAGTGAATGTATGGAGGGTATTCTCTTGTGAGTCAACACAAAAAGTAGCATGGATTGTGTTCCCCTGCTCCTCACTTTCACACTATATGTAGAATTTTCTGATACAGTGTTGGAGTTATGATAACAGAAAGATACTGTATACTCAGGCTAGGAAGCATAACGGATGGGGTTAACAGGTTAACTCACAATAGCCCCTTTTTGACCAAACATCTTCCAGAACTGTGCAGCAACAGGGACTAAACTCAGGAACTAAACTAGGAAGTACTTTTGCACATTCTTGTTTGTTTTTATTGCTTCTGAAGAACCATGAAGATTAAATAAATTTGTCCAACAACAGATTAAAAAACATCTGCAGCGTTTGAAATGCAATTTCACACACGAGAAAACAAAAACAAGGAATGATTTTGTCTGTCTTTGTATTTACAAGGCACGGTTCTGATGTTTGAATCGATGTAATGAAAGTATGCAAAGAAGACATGATGAAATGAAGAGACTAAAACCTCCAGAGCACCTGTTTTATGGCTAAATTAACAAGATATGCCCACCCTTATTTTAATGGGGAATCTTGTACTCTCTCAGTGTGTAAATGAAGCTCACACAAGCTGCACACAAGTTGTATGAAGTGCCGGGTCTGGGTTTAGCCAATGAGAGTCTCAAACTATAACTCTGCCAGGGTAGTTCCTAAAGAAGAGACTTCTTTTTGGCACCAAAAACTATGGCAGAACTAAATTGTGTGTGGTCAAGCAGGTAGAGTTCCTAGAACTGTTCTGGGCCCCTGGGAAAGTTCCAACAGTGGAAGCAGGCTAAATGCTATACCATTAAGAAATAAGTTGCGGATGATATGAATGGTGTCGTGACATAGATAATTCTGGTATGCACAATTTATTGGATGTTGCTCTTAAATTGAAGCAACTGGAGATTGTGTTAACCAGAAAATTGTTCTGTTTTCTAAGCATGATCACCTGAATAATAACTGTCCAAATGTTCTCCAGTGTTCTTCAAAAACACAACAAAAAGTCCTTAGGAAGAGGCGGATGGTTGGGAACAAGTGCATGTGCCTTCAACACCAGAGACCACGATTTGCATCCTGTCTTCTACTCAGTGCCAAGATTGATTTGATAAAATAATGAAGGTGATATTACTCCCTAACCTTGAAACAGTTACATCAGGGTTATCTTAATCAGTCTTTAACATTAGAGATGTTGCATAATCTCAAGTGAATAACTGTATAATGATAACGCTGAACTTAAAAACATAACTCTTGCACACATTATGGTGCCTTTCGATGGCTTTTGTAAAGGTTCAAAGTTAATTGAATTTAATTACAGATGAATGCCGAATGGAGAAGGAGGTCATCGTTCATGTTATATGATGGTGTCTTTTGGATTATAAGTAATTCAATATTCAGTTATAAACATTAACATATACTTAGTAATAATTAAATAATTGCAAATAAAATTTACCCTTGCATTTCCTTAAATGTACACTAGTTAATAAGCTAATGTTATATCTATTGATGTTGGGGTTAAGTTGTTAAATGTAGGCTCCATTTCCACCAATATTAACATAAGTATATGTTTCAGGATACCTTCAGGGGTGTAGTGGTAAATACAGGGCTTTTTTTCCCCTTATTGATTGATACAGTTGATCTGACAATGGATAAACAAACTCTCAGCCTTAATTCAAAGAGGTGGATAAACTAAGTTCACCTGGGTTTACCTCCCCACTACGCCCCTGGATACATTATCTGGAAAATGACATCCAATCCATAGAGCTTTGCATTGATACCTGACATCAATAAGCATTCAAGTAACATCAATATGCAAATTAGAATTGGATTCAATTGAAAGATGTGATTAAATTTAATTGACATTGAGCGAGACATTTGTGATCCAGCAGTGAAATTTGTGTTTGCTTTCTGACTAAACACACCTCAAGATGACTTATCAACTCTTGGCCAATCCAGTCCCATCGGAAAAGCATTATGCATGTGTATACACCCTGCACCCTGTGTCCTTATCCAGATAGGATATCCAGATACAAATCATCAGGGTTCCCCCTCTTTTAAAAAAATATTTTTTTAGGACCTTTTCCAGGACATTTTCCAGTTTTGCATCTTGCTCTAAAATGATTGTATAATTTACTGGTAGGCATCATATTGACATATAGTCTAGTTTTATGCCTCCTTTTTTTTTTTCAGGTTCATTATGATGCAGAAAAGATTGCAGTGAGTCCATTCCAGCATTCCCACTTTGAAATGTCATATCATATTGATGATCATATTATCGTCTTAACAACAGTTGAGTTTCAAACAAAATATGCACCAAGGCAATCTGAGTAAGAGGCTAAAATACAATTAAATTGTAGATTATTTCCAGGATTTCTGATCATTTTCATCAATTTGGAGGGGGACTATAAATCATACTAGTCTCTAAATTTCCATGCTTTCCAGGACGTGTGGAAACCCTAATCATATGCTAATGTGACGTGTATATAGGGTAACAGAGGTGGCAGATCATGTTGTATGGCAGAAATAAATTGCCTCATGCTGTAAAGGTATGAGGTATGGTTGGATTTGTGTAACTGATGAAAGAAATATTCCCAAGTTTAAAAATGTATTTTTTGTGTAAAAACTGCAGTTTATTTACCGAATTGACTATACATATTCAACTATAGATTAAAGGAATGGTGCTCTCCTATCCTGAGGGGATGTATAGTAATATATCTCCATATGGATTATTTGTCCCATCTCTAGATCCCACATGTGGTGTAAGGCCAATATGCCCTCCAGCTATTGATTCACACTGTTTTAAATTTTTTCAGCCAGAGATGATGTATGTCGTAACTGAGGAAGATTAGCTCAATTAACTTTGAGTTGGTGAATGACAAAAGGGCTCTCTGGTTTGTGGTTGAAACTCAAATATAACCGCAAGGTGAACGGTGTCGCAGTGAGAGCCAGGTCCTATTACAGCTGCCTCTGCTTCTTCCACCTC